CCTCCCCCCGGCTGCATGATGGGCACTGAGCTGGGCGCGAGAGCCAGCGGGACCCTGCTCTCCAGGAGCCATGGGGAAGTGACTGTGTCTGTCACCCCACCAGGTGTCACTGGCTGAGGCCCCCCCGTGGGACCGAGACGTGGAGCTGCTGGTGTATTACACGGAGCCGCACAAACCCAGCGCGGTGCTGGAGGTCGGGTTGCCTGGAGCAGAGCCAGGTGCTGGGGGGATCCTTCACCCTGCTGCCCCTGATCGGAGGGGTGGGAATGGGGGGGTCCATGGGATGGGGGGGGGTGTTCTGGGCGGTGACTTGGGGTCGTGGGGGCTAGGACAATGAGAGGGATGGTAGGGGAATGGGAGGTCCTAGGGCTGATGGCGGTGCGTGCTCAGAGAGGTGCTGGGGGAATCTGGGGGCAGGGTTAAAAAAGTTGTAGAGCAGATTTTAAATTAAGGGCTGGGGGAAGCTGACAGGTACTGAGGAACACATGGTTCGGACAGAGAGAGGATCTAAGGAAGAGAGGATGGAAGATGATAAAATATAGGTAGGATCTGATGAGAGAGAGTCAAATGAAAGAAAGTCCCATTCAATTACATCACATAATGGCAGACAGCTAAAAAGTGACAAGTTTTTAAAGTGCTTATATACCAGTGCTAGAATTCTAAATAATAAGATGGATGAACTTGGGTGCCTTGTATTAAATGAGGGTATTAATATAAAAGGCATCACAGAAACTTGGTGGAATGAGGATAATCAATGGGACACAGAAATAGCAGGGTACAAAATATATCAGACGGACAGAACAGGTCGTGCTGGTCGGGGAGTGGCACTATATGTGAAAGAAAACATAGAATCAAATGAAGTAAAAATCTTAAATGAACCAAACTGTACCACAGAATCTCTATGGATAGTAATTCCATGCTCGAATAATAAGAATATAGCAGTAGGGATATACTACTGACCACCTGACCAGGATGGTGATAGTGACTGTGAAATGCTCAAGGTGGATAGAGAGGCTATTAAAATAAAAAACTCAGTAATAATAATGGGGGATTTCAGTTATCCCCATATTGACTGGGTACATGTCGCCTCAGGACAGGATGCAGAGATAGTTTCTTGACACCTTAAATGACTAGTCCTGGAACCCACAAGATAAGAGGCAATTCTTGATTAGTCCTTAGTGGAGCACAGGATCTGGTCCAAGAAGTGAAAATACCTGGGCCACTTAGTAATAGTGAGCATAGTATAATTAAATTTAACATCCCTGTGGTTGGGAAAACACCATAGCAGCCCACCATGGTAGCATTTAATTTCAGAAAGGGGAACTACACAAAGATGAGGAAGTTAAGCAGAAATGAAAAGGTACAGCACCAAAAGTGAAATCCCTGCAAGCTGCACGGAAACTTTTTAAAGACACCATAAGGGAGGCTCAACTTATATGTATACCTCAAATTAAAAAACAGTGAGAACCAAAAAAGTGCCACCATGGCTAAACAACAAAGTAAAAGAGGCAGTGAGAAGCAAAAAGGCATCCTTTAAAAAGTGGAAGTTAAATCCTAGTGAGGAAAATAGAAAGGAGCATAAATTCTGGCAAGTGAAATGTAAAAATATAATTAGAAAGGCCAAAAAAGAATGTGAAGAACAGTTAGCCAAAGATTCAAAAAGTAATAGCAAAAATGTTTTTAAGTTCATCAGAAGCAGGAAGCCTGTTAAACAACCAGTGGGGCCACTGGACGATCGAGATACTAAAGGAGCACTCAAGGAGGATAAGGGCATTGTGGAGAAACTAAATGAATTTGCATTGGTCGTCACAGTTGAGGATGTGAGGGAGATTCCCAATCCTGAGCCATTCTTATTAGATGACAAATCTGAGGAATGGTCCCAGATTGAGGTGACATTAGAGGAGGTTTTGGAACAAATTGATAAACTAAACAGCAATAAGTCACCAGGACCAGATGGGATTCACCCAAGAGTTCTGAAGGAACTGAAATGTGAAATTGCAGAACTACTAACTGTGGTCTGT